CGCATAGCAAACCCAATCCACGAATTGTGTGCCTTGAGACAGTACCCGTGTAGTAATAGTAACCCCTCTACACAATACACATCCACTCGGCCGAACCGAAGCCGCAGTTTACCCCCCACCAAAACTCGACTAAAAGTCAAGCAAAAACCTAAATCGCAGCGCGACGGCGACGGCGACGCGCCGATGGGCAACGCCGGAAGCAGCGGCCGCCCCAACCTGCCACCGCCGCGGCCTCATCTGCATGGGGTGCCCCCACCGTACTACCACCAGTACCCGCCGTGGCGCCCGGGCGCCGCCGCGCCGCCGCCGGTGCCGTTCCCCACGCACGTGGAGCGGCACAGGGCCGTTGCGGTGAGCGCCGGCGTCAACGTCAAGGGGCATACCCTGCGGCTGGAGCGCGACGACGACGGCGGCGGCCACCTGCTCGCCTTCTCCTTCGACGCCGACGCCCCCGGGAGGTCAGCCCCCCTCGTACTCTTCTCTGTTTTGCTGATTAGATGGAGGCCTGTAGTGTCGTTGTGGACCCTTGTGGCCGATCATTAGGCTTTATCCCGTGATGATATTAGTTAGCCAGTGTAAAATTTCTGCCGTCATGTACATATTTTGTTGGAGCCATGATACTTTCATATTTGGTTGGAGCCACATGATACTTTTGTTTTGTGTTTTGTTGTCCATTTGAACAAAACTGGGACATTCCGTGTCAACTTTCTGAATTCTTCATATTTGAGTCCGAGTAACAAGGAGCAGTAACCTGTAGAAACAGATTTATGGCGCACTTATGGCTCATGTATGTGCTTGTCTTGGTGAAGAAGGGAGGTCTTCACTTGATATATTAGAGTACTGTATATTGTTTGCACGGCTTGTTGTTGAAGGAAGTAGTAGGCCTAGGTATGGAATCTGAACTTAATCATATTCATGTGTGTGGGAAAGTGAAAAACTCAGGGTACATGAGGCTCAATGGAGCTTTAATGGTCTTGGGTTGTCTACTACCTTCTGTAATTTTACCATGGCAAAGCTATGCTTAATGAATTTCTCAAATGCATGCCTGGCTCTGTCCCGTTCCGAGGTTTGACTATCCCCATTTTATGCCCATTTGTTGCATAGTGTTTATTAGTAGCATCTCATGCTTTGTACCTGTGTAGTGCGTGCCTCTACTTCTTTTAATATTTTGACAAGACTGTCATGTTATTTTTAATCAAATACTGACTCTTAATTTCTGATCCTGCAAACAGCATAACAGTCTACTTCTTTGCACAAGAAGCTGATGATTCTGTCCTGAAGGGTACAAAGGAAAATTTGCTCAAACCTGTCACGGTAACTTTTAAGGAAGGTCATGGTCAGGAGTTCAGGCAACCTAGTGGAACTGGAATCAAGCTCTCAATGTTTGAGGAATCTGAGCTAACTAAGGTTGGGGAGGATCATGTATTTCCGCTTGCATTGAAAGTGGAAGTGGGTGTGCCAAGTAACCAAGAATTAGGAAGGGAACATGATGCTGAAGACTCGAAGTCTTTGGCTAAATTTGCTGTGTTTGTTAAGAAAGACAGTGCTGAATATGGGATCAACATTGTGCAGCAGATACTGTGGGTAAATGGAACCAGATATGTCTTGCAGGAGATATACGGTATTGGGAACAGGAACACAGCTGACAGGAATGTTAATGAGGATGATTCTGGAAAAGAATGTGTGGTTTGTCTAACAGAACCAAGAGATACAACTGTTCTTCCATGCAGGCATATGGTAGGTTATCCTTTTGTACTAAATGTCCTTTAGATGTATAGATGTAGATATAAGGCTTATGGCTGTTGAAACTTGTTTTAAATATAAAAATTGATAACCTTTCTTCTTAAAGAAAATTAGGATGGAAACAGGCCTGGCAAGATTAGTTATATTACCCCCATCCACAAATGCATTGCATCCTAGAAAGCGCGTTGTCAAAGAGTTCTAACTGTGACTACTACTATATAAAAAATTAGTTTGCCAAAGTGAAAATAATTTTATTATATCTGTGGAATAATATGTCATAATATAATACTCCCTCCGTTCCTAAATATAAGTCTTTTTAGAGATTTCAATATAGACTACATACGGATGTATATATACATATTTTAGAGTGTAGATTCACTCATTTTGCTCCGTATGTAGTCCATATTGGAATTCTCTAGAAAGACTTATATTTAGGAATGGAGGGAGTATCTTATACTTCTCTTCTAAGCTGTACAGAAAGCAATGATGAAAGATGATTGCTGGAGGTCATGTCACTGTCTAAAACATCATCTAGAGTATTTTTTTAACAAAGTTAGTATCAGTTTTGTAGAGTCTTTGGTTCTTATTTCATTGTGGAATTTTCTTTTTTGGGTATTTTTTTTGTGTGCACATTCATCATTGCATATTTGATTAACATTAAAAAGCACCCACAATTGCTGTGAAATGCACTCAGTAATCTGGTTAGCATGCATCGAAATAACTATTCGTTTCTTATCAGGAAAGTTTACCAAGTCTTGCTGTTTAGCTAGTTACTTGTAATATCCATTCCCATTTCTTTCTGCTTTCTTCAATGCTTGCTATTTTGGCAAAGATACATCCTGCACTGTTTCCATGCTTTCCTGACAAATGAATAGGAAAAGTTTTAGAGCACATCAGGCCTCATTTGTAGTCGCCCATAGATGGAAGAACTACTACTTACCAAAGCCACAAAATGTGAATATCATGAATTTCTGTTTTGTACGTACATAGTTGGAAACACTGCAAAATCTTCAAAATTACTACAGATATGGGCCATATGGGCATATACGGCAGTGCAGCGTGGCACAGTATATCAACTGTAAACTGGCCCCTAGCTTGAAACCAACACAAGAACCTTATGTCTGTAGCAGCGTGCCCAATGTTTCTACCTTTTCTCATACATCTAGCTGAAATTAATACAATCGTGTTTCATATATTCCTCAAGATGCAACCATTTTATCTTATGTTGCAGATGAAAATAAGCCAAATTTCATTGACCTGTCATCTTCATGAAACCAGTGAAACTGAAAATCATGCCGTGTGCTCTTTTGCAGTGCCTATGCAGGGAGTGTGCTCAGACATTAAGGTTCCAGACCAACAAATGCCCCATGTGCAGGCAGCCTGTTGAGAGCCTTCTTGAGATTAAGGTTGATAGCACACCCAGGCATCAAGGAGGAGATCAGTAGTTTGGGAACCCTCAAAGGAAGTTCCGTTTGATTGTTAGCAACTGTAATTGGATGTATATATATCGCGTGTTAAAATGAAATTACCGTGCTTTCGGCAAAGAACAGAACATGGAAGGTATACACTAAGCTGACCGTGATGTTCTCTTTGCGTGTGACATGGAATTTAAAACAGGCAACATCTATTGTCTGGGCTTGAGCTTTCAAATGTACGACTGGTTCTAACGTTACACGTAGCTCTGTTGAAGGTTTCCATTTTCGTTTGTGAAGTGTTATGTCTGCATCTGTTTAGCATGTGTTGTGGTATGTTGTTTGTTGTGAAAATCGTTCGTATTAGAACATGAAGGAGAAAACCTTTGCAGTATAAAATTTGAGGAAATCTGGTCAGAATAAATTTATATAAATATCTGAGAAAATCTGGTCAGCATAAGTATCTAGTGATCTTGTTGATTAAGATTAAGATAGGATTGATTGAGGACCTGCTGCAGGCAGGATTCATTCCCCTAGAAGTAAAAACAACATGTCAACAAGAACTGGGATAGATTCATTGCCAAAGGAAAAACGATGAACCTTCAGATTGTATACAACATGCATTTTTTGAGAGAAGTGCATATTTCAACCCTCAACTCTTGCCCTAGTCTAATCTATGACTAACTATACCGTCTAAAAATCAACCTCAAATTCTTATAATCGGCCAGGATTCAACCCTCTCCTCCCCACACCTTGGTTTTGACACAGTTGACCATCCAGTCATCAAGCCATGTTCGTATAAATTTCAACATTTCCAGGAAAAACCAAAAAAATCTGTAAAATAAAAAATCCAGAAAAACAAGAAATATTTCTGTAAAAAATTGTAAAATCGAAAAAAGCGGTAATATTCTGCCCAATTTTTGCGAAATGTTGTCAGAAAATAAATTTTTCATTACTTTCTGAAAAAATATGTAAAATCAAGAAAACAATACTAAGCATTCTGGAAAGCTTCAACTTTTTTGCTTAAAAATAATGAAAATTATCATCAAATTATAATTTTGCCAAAAAAATTTCAAAATTCCCGCATTTTTTTTAAAAACATGTATACTTTGGAAAACAATACTAAGAATTTTAAGAAAGTTTCAAAAAACTTAAATTAATGTACATTATCGTCAAATTTCATTTTCCCCAAATTTAGAATTTGTTTATTAAAAAATATAAGGTTTTTTCTGGAATTTTCTATTTACAGATTTTTTTATTTCTCTGCAATTTTTCAATTTTTGCTGAGTGGCTTGCTGACCGGATGATCAACGGGTCAAACCCAGGGTGTGGAGAGGGGAGGGTTGAATCCTCACCGGTTTTAAGAGTTCGGCATTGATTCTTAGACGGTATTATAGTTGTGTTTTGTAGATTAGGCTAGGGTAGGCGTTGAGAGTTGAGATATGCACTTCTTTTAGGGGAAATGAACGAGGAAACGAAAGTGAACAACGAGGAGCCCAGGACCACCGTTATCAGCCCGAAGCCCAAACAAAGCAAAGAAAAAAAAGAAGAGAGAGAGAGAGAGAGAGAGTCGTCGGCCTGTTCCCGGAGAGGAAAAGCTCGCCGCCGGCATCGACCAGGCGCCCCCGCCGTTACAGGTGAGAATCGCGGCGCGTTTCCCGCTGCTTGCTTCGCCCGCCCGTTGTTCCCCTGGTACTGATCGGAAGCTGCCGCGCCGCGTAGTAGACGCGCGCATAGCTGCTGCGGAAGCCATTCGATCGATTCCTCAATCCAACTTGAAATTCCTAGGTTTCCATCTCCCCCCGAGAGCTCCGGACCACCGTGCGAGCAGGAACCGGAAGGGTGATGGATAGAGGAGGAGACGGCTCTGATCTGGAGCTGCAGAAGCAACAATGGGCGAGGTCTGTATATGCCCAATCCATCGATTCCATGAGCTTTCCATTCAGTTCGTCTCAGGTTGAATCAAAGGGAGTAGATTCGATTCATGCTGTCTGGTGATGCAGGACGCAGGATTTGCTCAGGGGTAGGCTCGTTCTTGAGGATGATTTCGAGTGGTCTTTACCTTCGGTGAGCTCGAAGTCAGACCAGAGTGATGCCAGGGGCAAGCTGAAGTATATAGGCGGGGTTGACATTAGCTTCCTGAAAGAAGACCCGTCTACAGCGTGTGCCGCGGTGGTGGTTCTGGATGCCGATACCTTGGAAATCGTCCATGAGGAGTTCGATGTTGTCCGGATGCAAGTGCCTTACATTCCGGGTTTTCTTGCTTTCAGAGAGGTATGACACACCATATATGCACTTTCTTTCGCTGAATTTGTTTGGAACAATGAAGATATAGACACGTGCAGTTTATCTATGGTAGACACTTTGTTCTTCAGTTGGACCTCTACAGTTTAATTTGCTTTGACAGTAAATAAGTAAGATAAAATTCTTGGACTACTGTTGTATCACCGAACAATCTTGTCTTTACTTGCATCAATGGTACAAAGTTTATTATGTCTGGACAGTAGTCCTCAAATGTGCAAATCAGGCTGAAAAAAATCTGATTCAATCAGTGTTATTTGTTACGTGCTCGACATGCCTTCAGCTTATTGTTATCTCTAGAGTCAGAAGTGAGTCTAGTGTTGCCAGGGCAATGTCTAGTTATCATAGAACATAGGAGAGATAATCGTGATTGACTTTGCTTCCTTGTTTGGTTGCAAACATCTGTGATCATTTATCTTTCTTCAGTTTATGAATCTGCATGTATCATATGTAAGAAAACTATCTACCTGTGCAGGCCCCCATTCTTCTAGGACTCCTGGAGAAGATGAAGATCAATGCTCATCATTTCTACCCTCAGGTAGAATTATCCTTTGTGGTGCTTGCAACTCTACTAATCTTAGCCTGTATTTGGTGAATAACACTAATTTAGAACATGATGTTCTGTATAGCATTTCTGTTAGCAAACAGGAACTTCCGTAGAAGAAAAAGCTGCAAGCATGCTTAAGTTAGATGACATCACTTGCCGAAATGTCCACATAAGGGAATAGGAACTAGATGTAACGATTCTTTGGCAAATAGGGTTACTGAGGATATATTCTCAACTATCTCATGGGGTTGCATGCCTTATTTCCTGTTGGTGTGCCTGTGATGACGAGAACAAAAGGTACATTACTATGCAGTCAGAGAATTCATTTTGGATTAAAATCTCATGTGAATTTACATTTTACATATAACAGTAGTAGTTTTCTAATTCAACATGTAGTAATCATCTTTCTTTGCCAGTGCATTTTCTAAGGTTTATCATTCTGCTTTGGCAGTTACTCATGGTTGATGGAAATGGGTTACTCCATCCACGAGGTAACAGACCAATTACAGTCACACTTATGCACTCTTTACAGTTTTCAATTAATAGTAGCAAGTTTGGCAGTAGTAGAATACGCTGCACATGTGAAATTAGGTTCTAGAATCATATAATATGTACGCGGTGTTATTGGATTTTTTTATTGATATAGTTCGTAAGACTGAGGTGATTTCTGTGTTTATGAAAGAATGAGTTCATTTGTAATCCCTGAAGCCCTTAACATGTAATCCTGGTGATACAATACATCTTGTTACGTTATGCATATTTGTGGCAAGCTGCATTAGCTGTAGTTAATATATGTGAATTGGTCATCCTCTAATAAATATATGTTCAGCAGGTTTTGGTTTAGCATGTCATCTTGGTGTCCTTGCAGACCTGCCAACCATCGGAGTTGGAAAAAATGTAGGTTAATTTTACTGCTGTTGCAATTATTTTTTTTGTAGTGTCTCGAGTTCTTCTCCCACAGTTGTACTTTTAGGGAAGACTAAATCATCAGCATTTTCAATGCTCCAGTTGCACCATGTGGATGGTCTTGACCAATCTGAAGTCAGAAAACAGCTTGAAGCAAAAGGAAACTGCAATAAGGAATGTATTTCATTGACTGGGCAGTCTGGGACGACATGGGGAGCGGTAAGAGACTCTATATTGCACCAAAAATTTATATTATATTGCTAAACGTGTAACGGGGTTTCCTTTCTTTTATATACTTCCTGTTAATGAAATGTATGTTTGTTGCACATGAACTCAAACAACTTGTCCTAGGCAATGTGTTCATGCCCTGGTTCATCGAGGCCAATCTACATCTCAGTTGGTCATCGCATTTCGCTCGACTCTGCCATTGGGATAGTGAAGTACTGCTGTAGATATCGTGTTCCAGAGCCTACACGCCAGGTTAAATTTAAAGAATATCATATATCGAGTTTCCACACGTCGGCAGTTGCATTTTGTGTACTAATTGGCCATCATTTGCCCAGGCTGATATAAGATCGAAGGTATTCCTCCAAAAGTACCAAAGATTACAGCAGTAACAAGATTCGACAATGGCAAACTGTACCCTTGGATAGCCTTCACATCTTTCTAGCTGTTGTGAAATTTGAGAAAGAAACTGACGAGGCATTGGAACCTCAAGTAACCAATGTACAGCCTTCTCTAATACTAGTATGGAATTGCATTTTATCCCAGAACAGTTTGGCTGTAAAATAGATTGTGATGCCCTTTTTTTTTGTATCAATATCTGAATTTGTCCATCTTGCTGTGCACATGCACAATGCACATAGCAATTAGCAAGAAGAATCAAGGACCTGGATATACATCGCAGCAGTGCTGCTTTGTGCGGCCGTAAAAGCACCGGTATATCTTGGAGTACAACTATTCGCAAAGAAAAAAAAATCTTGCAGTACAATAAAGCCACAATGGGAAGACATTGTACTGCTTTAATATCACTAGCATATCTTCTGCATTTAATCTGATATTTTTTTCTTCTCAAAAGGATTTCCCCAATTATCAAAGTATCTATCTCTGATTTACACTTCAGCAAAAGCACTGGTATATCTCCTTCCAGTACAATAAAGCCATGATGGGAAGGCATTGTACTGCCGTAAATCTCAAGCACATCTTGCATTTAATCTGATAGATTTCCTTCTCGAAGGGATGTTACCGATCAATTAACAGCATATATATTTTGATTAAGCTCAGGCTTCAAGCCATGTAATCTACTTTGCTTGCTCCGTGCTGCTTTCGGCCTGCCGGATAACTCTCCAGACTATGCGCTCGCTTTGGCCGGAGCCTCCGTGCTCGTGTTTGTGATCTAAGACTCTGTCAGTCACGCTGCCTAGTTGTGGGCTTTATTAATTTAAAGCCGGACGCGTCCAGCGTCTTCGTTCTAAAAAATATATATTTTTTGATCTAACCGATTATGCTCTTTAATGCACACTGCCTATATAAACATGTGGAGATGAGATACCAGCAGTGCAGCATATACAAAGAACACTTCTGCTTAATTTCCAGAGACCTACGTAGACAACATTGAGATGGCTGCAACTTTTCACTCCGTCGTTTGCAAGATCCTTGTGATTGCTATAGTTTGTGCTGCCCTCCTTTTCTCATCAGGTATCTATGCTCTCTACTCCATCCAAATCTGCTTTTGTAAATCTAAGATCAGCACAGTTTCCATCTCTATTATTAAATCAGTTGTGTAAGCTGTAACTGGTTATTTGCACTAATCCTCTGAAGTGAAGCACTTCTCATCCAAATACACACATCGTGTGACCTGATAAAACTTCATTCAGGACATATCTGATTTCGCAGAAAACAAAAGGCATACTGGTTACTTTTCTCTGTTACAAATTGGAACTTACCGTTAGGGTTTTGGATGCAGGAATGGCGCAGTACATGTGCATGGGCAAATGCGCGGAGATACCCGACTGCGACAACTACTGCAAGACGAAGGGAGTGTACCCCAAGGGAGGGGTGTGCCTGCCCCTCCACCATTACTGCTGCTGCTACATTTAGCGGGGTCGGACGTCGTCCCCTTCCCGACTTTCCCCGTGAATTTTTGTTATCAGTCGTCGATGGCACAATCGATGGCATCTAAATAAAATGGAAACACTTTTATGAAATTTTACGGGGCTCGGGACGGGACTCGTTTGCTTGTCTGATGAAACATTTTGTGAAATAGCTGTAGCTATCTTCTTGGATTGCTGTTTGGATTTTACAGTGCCGCAAACGGGGTGGAGTTGTTCGTGCTCCCGCACCCATCGGGTCACTTAGCTAGAGGATTCACCACATGATCGAGGAACAGAACTTCGCCGGTTCTGTCCTCGGCGATGGCCAACAAGAACGGCCGGTCCGCCACGAAATCCACCGGAGGTTGTACTGTGTTTCCACCTTGATCTGTGGGCATGCCTGTGGTGGCGGCAGCAGCAGTGCTGAGCTCGTCCACCTCGATGGTACGCTCTGCTGATGGAGAGCCCGTCTCCATGGGTCACCATGTCCGAGAAGTCACCGCCTCCAAAAGCTCCGCCGACTCCCATCTCTCTCATGTCCGACGACGCCTCGAACTTGGGGACCATGAACCGCCTGACCAGAACCTTGGCCGCCGGCGTGTAGTTCTTGACGAACTCCGGTGTCATGACGATGTTGACGTAGAGATCAGCGAGCTTGACGCCGACGGTGGTGCTGTCCGGGAGAAATAGAAGCATGTAGAATGCGGTCGCTTGCTGCACATCGTTCTTGCTGCGGTAGTAGGGCAGCTTGACAGTCCTGAAGCGGGGGAAGACGGCGACGAGCCTGTCGCCGTCATGAACGGCGCGCGCACGGTGGTGCCGTCGTCGACGTGGAACCGCGCGGTGAACGTCGCCGACGGGTCAAACGGCTGGGAAGTGGACTGCGTCGACGAGGGCCACCGCCGTCGTCAAGTTGACGGAGCCGGCAGGGAGGACGTCGTGGATGAGGTTGTCCGTCGCGCTCGCCACGGTCAAGCATAGCACAACCCTCCAGAAACAATTAGATATACACGCAAAACAAATAGCTCAGTATAGTTAAGTTGGTCAATGGAATGAGTTCAGTGGTGCAGCTAACGACTGCTGTCCATTGCCAGTTCCTTTTGGTGGCTTCTCTGGGGTCTTCTAACCGTGAGGGCATATGCTGGCTTCGGAATGCCTGCTCTTTAGTCGATTTGTTTTACAAAGGTAGATTTTATTAGTCAAAATGAAGTATCAAGTGGATATAAACGTAGTGAGCACACACTTAACCTTTATTTTTGAGATGAACATAACCAATAAATACACATACACATATAAACACGTCCGTAAGAGACTAAAGCTATGCCTAGGCAAGAAAAAAGGAGAAGAAAAACCCTGAAACGATCAAAACAACGATCGCTAAACTACAATAATGACCATATCCGCGCCAGTCATCTCTTGGCACCATAAAGACAATGAGGTTCTTCAATAGCAACGCCATCAGGAGGAGAACGACCCTCAATCACCACCATCAACAGATACAATCACCAAATGCCATATTCTAGGTTTTCACTATGAGGAACAAGTATGAGCATATCTCAAACTAATAGTGCAAGGATATTTGCAGAGGTGTTTTGGTGCCCTGGGGCGTCTACATCCGCACATGAACAATAATCTTGAAAAAAAATTAGTAAACGATTTCAAAAGAAAATAAAAAATAGCATCCAAGATGCTTGCAAGGAGCGTGCAAATTTTTGTGCTGAAACGGCATTCAAGGAGCTCTAAAAAAATTCAACAACAAAGAAACTTTGAAAAGACATTTTGGAGACTCACTTTTTTTGTGAATAGCTCCTTGAATGTTGTTTCCCCACGGAATTTTGCTCCCTCCTTGCAAACTCGAGCGTCTTGAATGCCAAAGAAATTCTTTTTTTGTATATAGCTCCACGAACGTTGTTTCGCCACGAATTTTTGCTCTCTCCTTGCAAACTCGAGCATCTTGGATACCCAATTTTTTTAGATTTTTGGGATTTTTAAAACTATTTTTAGAGTTCACTGTTGATAAAGTGCAGATGAGCCTGGGCTCATCTATCGATTACCACATCTTAGCACCCTTTCCTTATTCTAGAACTCCCTTAAACTTCTTCTCAAATCTTAACTCCTAGAAAATGAGGATTATAAAAGGTTTGGAGGTTCCCTCCAAAAATTAACTCCTGGAAATAAAAAGAAAGTGCAAAGATAAGTCATTGGAATCTCAAACTGATACTAGGTTAAGACCATGTAGTGTTTAACTATACATAACAGTCCATAACTAAACATCCCAGTGCACAATTAAACTAGATACCACTTTATTAAAGGTAAAAAGAGTTAAATAGAGCTAAAATGAACTAATCATCATTATAGAAGAGGTAGACCAGGCCTTGTCGGAGCCTGATGCCCTGGCGTTGTGGGTGCCTCATCGAGCTCATTATCGTTGTCGAAACTTGAGAAGGCCATCGTGACGCCCGCCACGGCCACACCCCCACCGCCTCTACCACGAGTAGGCGTACTCGTGGGTGGGGAGGCCGCGAGATAGAGCAGAGTCGAGAGCTCGGTGGTGGTGGCGGCGATTCAGAATAAATGGGTTACGACGGGCGTGCATTAGGGTTTGGATGGGGCTACGGTGCGGTTTTATAACGGCAGGGGGAGTGGTCAGTTGGGCGGCACGCTGGTGGTTGAGCCATTATTTTTCATTGGGAGAAAGGAAAGAGGATATTTGGGGAAAAATGCCATGGCTGCTCAAATTTGAGCAGAAGTGCAAACTTTTGAGCAGTTATAGCCATAGGGAAATGGTTAGTTGGGGTCTAACTCCTTAAAAGGGAAGTTAAGGAAATTGGAGGGAACTTCAAAGCATAATTGTTTGTTTTGGGACCCTCTTAGCTGGTGAACGTTTGTTGGGGAGGATGACATTTACGAATGATTTTCATGACAATTTTAGTTATATAAGAAGTGATAATTTCTTCATACTAGCATGCCAATTCCTTCCTAGAGAAGACAATTTTGTTGAAAAACGGCCATCGGCTGCGAGCATGTTCGCTTGGAGTTCCTTCCAAGCAAACGTTTGCCAGTTAGCATTATTGTTGTTTGTGTGCACAAGATGATAGAGGTAGTTTTGTGTGTGTGTGTGTGTGTGTGTGTGTGTGTGTGTGTGTGATTTCAGCAATATTTTCATGATTTTTTTTGGAGAATTCGTTTCGGATCCTATAGTTTGCGGACAAACATTGGACCCGTTTCCTTTGGGATATCCAAATCTTTGGAAAGCAAGCAACCTGCTATCAGAAAGCTAGCTCTGTGTGTTACAGAACACACGGGCGCGTGTGAGTTACAGTAAAAAGCAGACTGGCGGGAGTAATCCAATTTTACACAACCACGTACGTCCACATCTTTTTCAGTGGATCCAATAAATACATGAAGATGATGCCAAACAAAGGACTGGAGTAATTAATAAGTTCACGCATATCTTCTCACTGCTGTCCTATGCCCTTTAATGCTCGGTCTATATAAACATGTTGTTGAGATGAGGATTCCTGCGATGCATCGGCATATACTAGACTCAAGAAGACATTCATAGTTTCCGCAAGATGGCTGCAACCTCTCTCTCTCTCATCTTCAAGATCCTCGTCATCGCGCTAGCCAGTTCTTCCCTCCTTCTCACCCCAGGTATGTGTGTCGATCCATGGCTCTTTAGGTCTCTACCACTCCAATGGAAGCCTTCAATTTCTATCTAAGATCAGTGCAGGTTCTCTCGAAACGGCGAGACCGGATAAATGCTACTCCTACCTTTGTAACTCAATATAACACATTTTCTAACACTATGTCGACAGTGTAAAAAAACGCCTTATATTAAGTTACGGAGCGAGTTTGTTTGAACATAGGATCTTCCGCTGATTCTACAGATATTGAACAAATTTTGTTAAAAAGTCCTACATCATCTTGTGATTTAACTTTTGAACTGAATCAGTCTTGACTCAGTTTTAGTAACATTGTGGTTATGGACGCATGCATGCAGGAGAGGGCAAGTACGTGTGTCAAGGCAAATGCGAGGACATACCGGACTGCGACAACTGGTGCAAGTCGCCCGGCGGTTACTCCAAAGGAGGGCAGTGCGTGCCGCCGCTCTACCAGTTCTGCTGCTGCATTGAATAGTCATCCATTATATTTCTCAAATGTCTTGTAATCGTGTGTACAATCAGCATCGGTAATAAAATGTGAGTCGGTAGGAGTTAAAGGTAATTCTTTGACCAGTGGGGAGACCACAGGAGCGAACATACTCGCTAGGCACACGTGCCCCGGCACGGTAAATGGTCTCTAACGCACCATCTCGGGATCAAAGTGTTATGAAGCACCAGACCACGGTATTTCATGGTGATCATGGTGACGGGATGGTGCTCGATGCCGTCGCCCCCCATCGTCCACGACCAACTCTAGATGGTGCTCATCGCAGCCCCGTCGAGCACGATGACACGAAAATCATGCCATTGCACGTGCCATTGCTGTGGTGACATGTCTGCCATTTCCCCCTAAGCAGTTTTCACTGACCTGTAACTGATAGAACAATCCGGGGCGCACGTCGATCTACCGACGACAAGCAATCACACAAGCATAAACTTTTGCATTTGTTTCTACCATGATTCTGCGGAAACACATGGGTTACCCTCTAGTTCTTAAAGAAAGGAAAGCTCGGACATGCCACTGACCGGCGCACAAAGTTTCAGAAAAGTGGCTCCTCCATACCAGAAAGATGTGAGGGCATTGATCTGCAACCCCTTCAGCTCGCTCTCGGGTGCCAGCTCGGACCATTCCGCTGCAAAATACCTCAGCATGCTTCTCTCTGACAGAAAACTTACCAAAACCGACTGTCAGCCAGTCATGGACAAATTTGGTTCCAAATGCACCATCAGGAAGATTGGCTGGATGAACATTTCGGGCACGCTTATCCTGGTGCTCATGGCCCTCTCTGCCCTCCTCACTTTCTACATGATTTCCATTGCTCAACCGTAGCGCCAGACAAGATTGTGCGAAGTATGCCAAGACCATACAGGTTTCGTTTTCTGACTGTGAGCGCTGTTTGGATTATAAGCTGATGATCTACACTGCCTATGTTGTCCAGAGGAAGGGATGCACTAGTAGAAAAAGGGCCTATTGTCCCGGTTCGTAAGGGTCTTTTGTCCCGGTTCCTGAACCGGGACTAAAGGGTCGCTAGTAATGCCCTGTCCCTTTAGTCCCGGTTCAATCCAGAACCAGGATAGAAGGGCCTCCATGTGGCCTGTGCGCGGAGCCCAGACTGGAGGGCTTTTGGCCACGCGTCAGCATTTCTGTGGTTGGGGTTTTTGTTTTTTTAAGGGGGGGAGGGGGGAGGGGGTTGGGGGTTTTGGGGGTTAATTTAGGTGTTTCATATATTGTGTTAGCTAGCTATAATTAATAGAGAGAAGTGTCCTCTCTTATGTCCGTGCTTGGTCGACGCACGAACTATACATACGTATAGAGAGAACTAGACACGCTAGCTAGCTAGTAAGCAAACGAAGGAAATAGAAGATCGTCATGAACATATATGCATACAGAGAGAAGTGATATCGACCACCTCTCCTTTTCCGAGAGATTGGTCGAACAACAAGTTCTCGTATATCTATCCGACACTACCGGCTACATATATACAATAATTATCTCTTACAAATATAATCTCCTAACATACAAATTCATGGTCCACATAGTATTCTCCGTCTTCAGCGATCACGTGGTCAAGAAAGAATGCCGCCAATTCCTCTTGAATTGTTCGCATGCGAGCTGGTGCTAGGAGTTCATCCCGCTTCTGAAACATCTAATTTGAAGAAGGGGGTCAATACATATATATATATATATATATGAATGAATGAAACTCAACACAAATGATGATAACAAAATAAAATTGTGAATGTTGTTATTTACGTACTTCATATTGTTCGTCAGAGTAGCCCCGCTCACAGGTCGTGTGGCGGATGGACTCACAAACGTAGTATCCACAAAAATCATTTCCTTATTCCTGCCACAACCACTTTACAAGAAATAGAGGTCAATCAAACTGATAAGCAAGAATGCCAAATGGTATTGATGAAACTAGCGCTTGAATCAATAGGAGATGCGCGGAACATGCTACTATAGTACTTTCGGGTGTCTAAATTGCAGCTTCTTCAGGAGTCCTGAAGCTTTTTTGGTGAATTTTTTCCAAACCCTGCCAGACAAAGAAAACAATTACTTGATATATCAGGAAATGAACAAAATTACTGATATGGTGGATAATGATCGATTTAACTTACTTCTCGAGCATTGAGTCATGTCCGCATAGTACTGAGGATCTTTTCGTCTTGAGTCTAAGACGGTTACTAGTCCCTGCTCAAGCTTAATCTCTAGGAGAATATAGTGGAAACTGCACACGCATGCATAACTCATCAATTACATTACTATAACATTGACTAATATATAAGAGAAACCGAATACGCATAAGACAGTAACACTCACTTGAAGTTGTAAGGAAAGAGTATTATATCTTTGTTTTTATTTATTACCAACGATCGTAGCAAGTTGGCCTTGGTATCTGCGACATGAAATTTAACCTCAGTTGCATCTATGAGATATGTGTTAATGAACCCAATATCACCGACTTGTCTTTTCTTCAATTCGGCGATCTTCAATCTGCATAATATAGTGAGGATAATTATAAATACATGCAATGAAAGAGCTGAGCTATATAGAGAGACTTAATGACAGAAGTAGTAGTACTTACAGACAGTAGCAGGTGACCGTTGCTTTATCGAGAGCCAATTGATTGAAAAACTGAAAGAACTCCTCAAATGGAACAGGCAACAGTTCAATTCCAACGAGGTCATGCTCCTTTTTAACTCTCACATACAAAGTACTCCTCCCCCAGACTCTCTGCAGATTTTCAAGTATCAATCATGCAATCTTCGCATCATCGTTGATAGAGATCTTTCATTTTTGATGAGAGGATTCCCGTACTCGTATCTTTGTATCTGCACCTCCATGAAATCATAATGTACATCGTCGGGCAGGTAATCGCCAAGATTGCTATAACAGGGCACCATCCTCGGATCATTAGCGACGATGTCTCTAGGCACCTTGAGCGGGGGGCACAATTGCTTCGCTTGTTCGCTGAGCTGTGCAATTTGTTTTCCAGCTCGTCGTTCTTTCAGCCTTTGATCACTGACAGTACTTCCCGACCGCTCCGCTTCGGCAAATTCCTTTCCAATAATGCGCTCATAGTTTCCTTTCGACGAAGACTTTGGTGATTTTTTCAGGGCAGCCAGAGTGCGCTTCGCTTTCACCGGATCTACCTTCTCCTCCGGAGGTGGATGTTTCTTTGCTTTCACCCCTTCAAAGAAGTTCCTCACTTCTTCTCGCGCGATCTCGGCGTTCTCCTCCGGGGTCCTCTCGTATGGTAACTTCTCTGGAGTCTTCAGAGAAGGACCGAATCTGTATGTCCTCCCGCCTCTGGCTGTACTGCTAGACGCCGGCAGAGCAGACGGAGCGGTTGTCTTCTTTACTTGCTTACGAGGCGGAGGAGAAGGACTACGACGCGTCGGAGCAGCCGGAGCGGCGGCAGGTCTCTTCCGCCCTTGCTGACGAGGCGGAGAAGGAGGCGGAGTGAGATACATGTGACCGTCGGTGTCGGACACTACATCCACATCCCACAAGTGACGTGGGCGTCGAAGCCCGCGTCACTTGTGGGACGTGGATGTAGTGTCCGACACCGACGGTCACATGTATCTCACACCGACAATACTTGCTATTTAGGGTTTCCTCTACCGCTCTGCAACCCTCGACGACCCTCATTCCCAATAAAAAAAAAGGGGAAGAAGAAGAAAAAAAAGAGGAGAAGAAAGAATAGAGGAGAAGAACTCTCCTCTATTCTTTCTTCTCCTTTTTTTCTTCTTCCTCTTCTTTTTTTATCCTCTTCTTCCTCCCATGTTCGACGACCCTCGACCCCTCGGCGGCCCTAGACCCCCTCTCGACCCTCGACCCCTTGG